GTTTACAGAGTCTTTTTCTTGGCCTTCTTGAATTTCTTGTAACCATACACATTTTGTCCTTGGTACTACATGCAGAACTAACTAGGAAAAGGGGTGCAAAGAGTAAGTTCCCAGAAATGTAGTTTATCTCTAAAATAAACTATTGGAACACAGTGTTTTTCTAAGTTTGGGACTTTTAAAAGTGCACCCCGAGGGAATGCCACAATATGGGTTATTTGTTCATCTTGTTGCTCACAGACCTAAGTTTCTTGAAGGTAGGAATCAGATCTCTTTAGTTTTTGTGTCCCAGGCATGATTTCAGTTGCTCAGTAACTGTGTGACTGACCGTTTGAAATGGTGAGAAGATTGAATGTGAAGGTAGAAGGCCTAGGGTTATTTCTTCTAAACTTTAGGACCTTTGTAGATTATGTGACATCTTTTGAATCACATTTTCATCAGCTGCTTGTTCCATTAACTTCACAAAATTGAGAAATATGAGATAAAATACAGTAAAGTATCTTGTAAAATTAAAAAGTGCTGTACAGCTGTGAAAGGCATCGTTGTTACTATTATATTTCTAAGTACTTATTAAAGAACTTCATTGAGTGTGGCAGCAACTACTAGTGGAATCACGAAAAATTCGTTGTTTACTCTTCTTTCTGGGCCTGCAGCTCTACCATCATTGCACCTCCCTTGCATTTAAGGGTGGTCATGTGATTGAGTTCTAACTAATGGGATGAGCAGAAATAATGTGCTCCACTTCCAGACCTGGCCCATAAAAAGCTTGCATGAGGGCCCCTGTGAGCTTTCTTCCCTTTTTTGGCCAAATAGAGACAGCCTTCAGAGTAACCGTGGAAGCCACACATTAAAAATAGTGAAGCCTCCTTGAAACTCACATGCTCGCTAACCTCACCCATGCAGTTCTACCAGAACAAGAAATAAACTTCTGTTCAGCTTAAGTTGTTACATGTTTTGGGGGCTGCTTGTTATTAGAGTGACATCTCTAGCTATTAAAAGGAACATACTAGGGCTGGCATTGTGGTACAAGTGGGTGAGTCTCTGTCTGCAACACCAGCATCCCATATTAACACTGGCTCATGTCCGGCTGCTCCACTTCCAATCCAGCTCCCTACTAATGGCCTTGGAAGGTGGTAGAAGATGGCCCCAGTAATTGGGCCCCTGCCACCCATTATGGGAGACCCAGATGAAGCTCCTGGCTCCTGGCTCCTGGCTCCTGGCTCCTGGCTTCTGGCTTCTGCCTGGCCCAGCCCCAGCTGTTGCAACACATTTGGGGACTGAACCAGTGGATAGAAGATCTCTCCCTCTCTTTGTAACTCTGCATTTCAAATAAATAAATATATTTTTAAATAAATAAAAATAAAAAATAAAAGGAACTTACTGACATGCACTCTGTTTTTTCTTTAGAGAAGCATAATCCTCTTATAGCAGATTTACAAATAGAAGTAACAATGTAAAGACGAAAATACCTATGTTCATGGTTGTACAAAGAGAGCGACCCAAAATAAAATCGAAGAGAAAACTACTCATCTCTTATAATTTTTTTGGTTAGTAAAATTAAGCAGTTTATAATTTTTATTTTAAGATTTAATTAGATAATTTATGTATTTTTCACTTTTTATTCTTCAAGCCAAGGTTCCAAAAAAGAGATGATATCTCTGGTTAATGCCTTGATTTAATTGATACCTAGTATCTAAGCTTTTTCTTTAACATTAAGTATGGTACCTAAGACATATACAGCACAAAGTTTTCTGAAGCTGGTAATCATGCTGAGATGATATGTTATCCCTCTTAGTATTTTTTTTTTGTTTGTTCTACTTAATACTTTTGATTGAATACTGTAATCAATACACAATTCTTAAGTGCTGAAACTTAACTGAAAAGTGATCACTGTTAAATATAAGAGTGGGAATAAGAGAGGGAAGAGATGTGCAATTCGGGACATGCTCAAGCTGACTTACCTCAAACAGTAGAGTTAGAAACATACCAGGGGATTCCAATTCAATCCCATCAAGGTGGCATGTACCAATGCCATCTCACTGGTCCCAGTGATCAATTTCTGTTCACAATTGATCATAATGATAGGACTAAGAACCAAAGGGATCACATAAACAAGAATAGTGTCTGCAAATACTAGCTGATAGAATCAAAAAGGGAGAGAATGATCCAACATGGGAAGTGAGATACACAGCAGACCCATAGAATGGCAAATGTCCTAAACAGCACTCTGGCCTCAGAATCAGCCCTTAAGGCATTTGGATCTGGCTGAAAAGCCCATGAGAGTATTTCAGGCATGGAAAGCCAAGACACTCTGGGGAAAAAAAAAAAAAACTAAATGAAAGATCTCCTCAGAGTGAGATCCCAGTGGAAAGAACGGGTCATCAAAGAAGGAGGTACCTTTCTCTGAAGGGAGGAGAGAACTTCCACTTTGACCATGGCCTTATCTAAAAATGATCAGAGTCAGTGAACTCAGGGGGCTTCCATAGCCTTGGCAGCTCATGACAAGAGCCTAGGTTGATTACTGATGCCATAAACAAGAGTGTCAATTTGTGAAGTCAACAACAGGAGTCACTGTGCACTTACTCCTCATGTAGGATCTTTGTCCTTAGTGTGCTGTACATTGAGATTTAATGCTATAACTTGTACTCAAACAGTATTTTTCACTTTGTGTTTCTGTGTGGGAGCAAACTGTTGAAATCTTTACTTAATGTATGCTAAACTGATCTGTATATAAAGAGAAATGAAAATGAATCATGATGTGAATGGAAGGGGAGAGGGAGTGGGAAAGGGGAGGGTTGCGGGTGGGAGGGACGTTATGGGGGGGGGAAGCCATTGTAATCCATAAGCTGTACTTTGGAAATCTATATTCATTAAATAAAAGTTTAAAAAAAAAAGAAATGGACAAAACTATAAAAAAAAAAAAACCACAATTCTTCTCCAACTCACTTATTAGATAGCTATGACCTACCTCATTATAAAAGTTTGGGGTGGGGAGAGGCACTGATATCTAGACTCTTTATAGAAATTGTTAGGCAAGACATTTTGTTCAAAATGCGCATGTCTCTGAAACTGCAGGTTACATTCCTAAGGAATGTTGAGGAAATTCAAGTGTATGTTTATCCTTTCATCTGGCAGCTTTTACCAAGAGTTACCTAAAGTAACTGATAATACTGGATTCTACTTTACTTTTATTTGAGGAGAGATGGATCTCTTTAAGTGTGTTTAGGTTTGAGGAGGTCCAGTAATATATCTGTACAATATTAATCAAGTCTGCTTATCTGGCTGTTGAAGTTTAAAACCTTTTACTTTCTAGAATATTTTTATTGTGGTAATAAATAAAACCCTACCAAACATAATGAAAATAGCTGCTACAGAGCCTGTGTGCCTCACTGGCTAGAGGAGCCACCCCTTTTCTTAGGCGATAAATTTAATTTTACACATTATGTTTAGTAGTCTGATTTCCTCTGGGAAGCTTGGATTGTTCTGTGGGTTTCAATTAAATCAGGAAACAAGCTGATTGGACAGTAAATTAGAAATAGAGAAAGGGAAGAAATAACCACCGTAGAGTTTTAGAGGATAACAGCAAAGGACAGAGAAGGAAAAAGCTAATTGTGTGAACAGGAGACAGAGGAAATTAAATGAAATCACAAGTTGAGTCCTATTTTCCTGGATACCTTTTGGGAGTATTTAACTATTATGGCACATGCAAGAGCTGTTATTAAAAGTTATCCTGAAGTAACAACATGTGACTATATTATGTTAAGAATAATTTTTGATAGCATGGGAAGTCTTCGAAGCATACTAGTATTAAATTTGGATGGTTTTAAACATTACCTGAAATTTTTATTTAGTTTAGAATGCCTTAATTGCTAACCAAATATCTACTGGTGTTTTTTTTTTTTTTAATTAACTCTTCTACGTACATGGCATAAAAAGTGGCCAGTTGTTGATTTCTGACTACCCAGTCATTCCCCTTAAAATATAGTTTCTTCAAATCATCAACCTTGAGATTGTTTGAGTTCCTGTCTGGCTATGACAGAATGAGGCCACATTTTCTGAAATGAGATTCTTTTTAGAAAAAGTTTAGTGTAATTCCTAGCATTTTTACCTTGATTTTTAAAGCAAAGTTTAATTTTTTTTTCATGTAGATGACTTTTTTAAAAGATTTTATTTATTTATTTGGAAGTCAGAGTTACAGAGAGAGAGAGAAGAAGAGGCAGAGAGAAAGAGAGGTCTTGCATCCACTGGTTTACTCCACAATTGGCCGCAATGGCCGGAGCTGTGCTGATCCAAAGCCAGGAGCCAAGAGCTTCTTCCTGGTCTCCCACATGGGTGCAGGGGCCCAAGGACTTGGGCTTTCTTGTACTGCTTTCCCTGGCCATAGCAGAGAGCTGGATTGGAAGTGGAGCATCCGGGACTCGGAGCAACCCATATGGGATGCCAGCACTGCAGGTGGCAACTTTACCTGCTACGCCACAGTGTCGGCCCCTCATGTAGATGAGTTTTAATACTTAGATATTTTTCCCAGAAAGGTATATCTATATGCTTTGGAATCTATCACTTGGTATTTCTAGTACAACAGAAACTGTCTTCTGAACTTTTGAACTCTTGTCTACTGGACTGATCATTGGTTTTTACGTACTTTATACTTTGGGATGATAACTAGTTGAAACAGCTAGGGCTGTCTTCATTTTATACATGGAGTAAAAAGGGCATTGCAGTTGTACTGAAAGAGAAAAATGTTTTATTAAAGTAACTTTGCATAGTTATGCTTCATAGCACGGTAAGGATACTGTCAGACAAAATCAATAGCACCTTCCAGATGGTAGACATGTAAGAAATATTTGTTGAATAAATGAATGAAAGAGCATTGAATTTAAACTAGCTTTCATTGTCATGGGAACCTACAGGCAAAATCTCAAATGTCCTTTATTTAAAGGATCTTAACTGGAAAAGATTAGCTGAGGTATACTAATTGTATTTACTTGTGTTCTGGGATGCAGGTGGCAATAAAGATAATAGATAAATCTCAGCTGGATGCAGTGAACCTTGAGAAAATCTACCGAGAAGTACAAATAATGAAATTGTTAGACCACCCTCACATAATCAAACTGTATCAGGTATGACGCCACATTCCTCCTCTTCATGCTTTCTCAGTTCTGTTTTGTATTGTGATTTTTCCTTTTCTGTTATTTCTCTTATCTGTGAAAGTAAATATGTGCTTCTGTTCAGCTGGGTATATCCATTTGTTTGTATTATCTTTAAGTTATAAAGTTCAGAAATCAGAAACTAATCTGTAGCTTTATTTTAAGTTGTCTCTCAGACTGCCAGTTATTTATTTTAAAAGTCTGCAGTTGTGCATTTATTATACCTGGCTTAAACCTGATGAATTTGAGTTTTGCTTATTTAAAAATTGTACTGTTTTATCAGATAAAGACTTTTCAAGAACAATTCATATTTAAGAATAATATAAAACATTTAAACATTTTCTATTCATTAATATGAAGAACTTTTCTTTTTGAAACTGCTTTTAAGCTGAAATGTTACAGTATGTTGGTCTGTGACTTTGATCTCCAAAATATGGTGTGCACACCATGGTATGCTAAACCCAACCTGTATAGGCTTGTGGGAATGGTTGTAAATTTTAAATTTTGAGAACTGATTAACATTACATTAATAAGTTAAAACCTGCAATGAGAGTAGTATTTACACCATAGAAATAGCTTACAAATCAAGACCTTTTTTCCTTATCCTACCACTACAAGCACTTAAATGGGTTAGCATAATTGTCCTTAGGAATGTAAGAAGAAAATATTAGAACTTCTATTTCTGTTTATATTTGTCTTCTTAAATGTACTTTATAATGTATATAATAAATTTATACAGTGAAGCATGAGTATTTATGTCTGTATATATATATCTGTATATATAAATGTGTCTGTGTATGTGTATAGATATATATATACACATATGCACACAAATACATGTGCACATGCCTACATACATACATATATTTGACAAAACAACTTTTGTTAAAAAAATGTGAAGACTGGGGCTGACATTGTAGCACAGCAGGTTAAGCCGCCTGCAACATGATATCCACATATGAGTGCAGGTTCAAGTCCTGGCTGGTCTACTTCCCATCTAGCTTCCCGCTAATGCTCCTGAGAAAGCAGCAGAAGGTGGCCCAAGTACTTGGCCCCTTCACCCATGTGGGAGGCCCTAGATGCAGTTCCAGGCTCCTGGCTCTGGCCTGGCCCAGCCCTGGTTGTTGCAGCCCTCTGGAGAGTGAAGCAGTGGATGAGAGATGTCTGTGTGTGTGTCTGTGTGTGTGTCTGTGTGTGTGTCTGTGTCTGTGTCTGTGTCTCTCTCTGTAACTGTGCCTTTCAAGTAAATTAACAAATCTTAGAAAATGTGAAGACCACTGTCTTGTGATATGTCTCCTAAAAATAAGAAGCTAAGATGTGCCACTCAAACATTTCAAAAATTCTAAAACTGCAGAGGCCTCTTATGTCAGATTTTATCAGAGCATTTCTCCTTTAAGCCTTATAATAGATATTATTTCTAAAGAAGATGTTTCTAAAGAAACTAACCATATTCTTAGAAGTCTCTGATGAACCATAAGCTAAACCGAGGATGAAAGTACCATGATTCATATGATAATTCTCTTTATTTGAACTAAATAATTGGTTATGGTTGAGTAATTGTTTGATTTGTTTATGCCCATATTGCAGGTAGCTCTTAGTTTTGGGCCTGATGGGGAATAGTCCCAAACCTCTGTTTCATTTATTTATGTTTATTTTATTTGGAAAAGAGAGAGATAAATCTTGCAACTGCTATTTCATTCCCCCCAAAATACCTGCAACAACTGGATTTGGGCAAGGCTGAAGTCAGGATCCAAGAATTCAGTCTGCATCTCTTGAGGATTAGTACTTGAGCCATCGCCTGCTGCCTCTCAGGTTGTGCATTTTCAGGAAGCTGGAATTGAGAAAAGGACAGCAACTTGAACCCAGGCACTCTGGTAGGGGATGCAGGCATTCCAACTGACATCTTTACTACTGCACCAAACACCAGCCCCCAAAACCTACATTTTAGAACAGAATTAGTTTTCAGCCTAACAGTTGAAAGAGAAGTAGTCTAAAAATCACTCCTTGAATCTAAAAATGTGGTTCCTTTCTAAACAAATGTCTAATCAGTATCGTTTGAAAAATTAAATTGGTGACAATGATACTTCTTTCTGAAACTGGAAAAAGTTTCAGAAAAACTGAATAAAAGTATATGACAGTAGAGCTATGAACAGAAGCTTTTGAACAATGTTTTCAAATTATAGCACTTTGTAACAGTATTGAAGTGTACTAGGAGAAATATCACAATGTGCTTGATTAGCTAGGCTACAGCCCAGATAAACTAAGTTCTTCTGTTTTATTATTCTTTTACTAATCAGGGTCTACCATGATAAAAACAAGACTAGGAAAGGCGGAGAAGAGGTTTGAAAAAATTGATCTTCAGAACTCCTGTTAGCTGTATTAATACTTCCCAAACTTTAAGGTACCTAAAAAGTCACCTGCATTTGTTAAAATGCAAATTTTAGTTCAGCACGTCTAGGGACTGGACCTGCAAGTCTCCATTTCTGACAGGCTTCTGGGCAGTGCTGCTCTTGCTGTACCATGGACCACATGTAGCAGAGCAAGAGTCCAGCTTTTCCACGAAAGTACTAATACAAGGGTACTGTCAGACTTACAGACTCATCAACAGTTTCTGAGTTGTTCATAACTCTTGATTGTTTTATTAGTTTTAATAGAGGTAGTCTCATAGACTGTTGTGATAAATTTCAACCATTTCCTGTCAGACTAATGTGGAATTACTTATCCATAGGTAATGGAGACCAAAAGTATGTTGTACCTTGTGACCGAATATGCCAAAAATGGAGAAATTTTTGGTAAGCTTTTTTCCTTAAATTTTGTTTTAATTTTAAAAGGTCACTAGTCTGCATGAATTGAGTATTTTCTATTAATTTTTCTGCTTATTTAAGAATTGGTAATATGAGTTAGAAATTTTGAAGTATATTATAATTGAAATCTAGTAAGTTAAAGATGCAGAATAGAATTTATTTTCTTACACTTATGATATTCAAGGTACTTCTTAATTCTGTAATCTGTATTATAGAGATTAGAAATCAAAAACAAGGAGAAATTTTTCCTCTTTATCTTTCATTGTACCTTTCTTTTCTATGAAAAAATTAGTCAACAAATATTTATTGAGCTCCTGCTTGCCACAGGCTCTGTACTAGGTGTTGGGATACAGTGATAACCTCAATAAAATAATCTCTGAGTTTGTGGATCTTAAGTTCACTGTAGCTATAAGTGGTCAAGTCACTAAGCCTCTCTGGGACTTTGGTTCCTTTATCTCTAATAAGAAAATATTCGCTTTATTGGTCTCTGTGATCCATTCTTACCCTTAAAACATCATTAATATTCTCTTTGTTATAGACTTTCTCTAAAATACCTGTTTACTTTTTCCTTTATGGTACCAGAACATTGGATCTAAATATTTTTGGTTCTTAACCTAAATTTAAGTCCAAAATTGTTTCGTAAGCAATTTTATGAATGAATGATTCACATACAATATATTTTACATATTTAATGTGTACGGTTCCATGAATTTTGATACACATACACATACCTGTGAAAACATCACCATAATCAAGATATCCATCAATTCAAAAAGTTTCTTTGGAACTTTGATCCCATCCTACCCCCAGGGAACCACTGATCTGTTTTCTGTCACCATAGATTAGTTTGTATTTTCTAGAGCTTTATATAAATGTGATCATATAGTATTACACCTTTATTGGCCTGACTTCTATCCCTCAGTATAATTATTTTGTGATTCACCTATTTTGTTATGTGTGTCAACAAATAGTTTCTTTTTATTGCAGAGAATATTCTGTTACATGAATATAAGGGTACTTCAAAAAGTCTGTAGGAAAGAGAAATTGAAAGATAAATTTATTTTTGTGCAGAACAGTTTGAAATCTGTTCATTTTTCATAACATACATTTTCCAAGAATTTTTTAAAGACCCCCACATATACCCCTGGTTTGTGCTTATCCATTCATCTTGTGATAGACATTTGGATTGGCTTTAGTTTTTGGCTACTGTTCATAAGTTGCTATAAATATTCATGTACCAGTCTTTAATTTACACAGTTTCCTTTCAAGTAATATTTATCACTTCACATATAAGAATCTTAGGATAATATACTTCTGTTTGCTGCTTCAGGCTTTATGTTATCATATTTTACTCATACCTAATTTATATAATGCACAATGCAATGTTATTTTTCTTTAAAAGGTCAATGTCTTTTTAAAAGATTTCAATATATTTTTTAAATCTTATATATTTACCACATTTCTGTATGGAGATGCACATTTTTATCTTTATTCATTTGTATAGATACATATTTTTATCTAGTGTCATTTTTCTTTTTGCTAAAGAATTTTCTTTAGTATTTCTTAGAGTGTAGGTCTGCTACTGATACAATCTTTCAACTTTTATATGTCTCCAATCCAATCCTCTGAAAATTATCTTTAATTTTAAGTCTTTGATGGTAAATTATATACACTTGTGTAGTTTTGAAAAGATATAGTATTTACAGTTCAATTGTAAATAAATAGCTCTGCTTGAATTAATTGTACTTCGGGAAAGATGGTCTGCTTCTCTGTTAATTTTTCTCTTTTTTATGTTATTGCCTAATGATCTTATTTTAATTCTTTAGAGATTTGCTTCAACTAGAGGCATCATACCTGATATTAAAATAGAATGATACGGTCTTGGAAGCCAAGCATATCTGGTTTATAATGCTGGCTACACCAGAAAATTGTTACATTACTTAGGGCATTTTCTTCCTTTGGTTTTCTTTCTTTTTTTCCTTTCTTTTAGTTCTTTTCCTTTTTCTTTCTTTCCTATTCTTCCTTATATTTTCTTACTGATTCAGTGGGTCAGTCTTTCAAGACTATTTACTGAAAACCATCTGTGTGTCATTGTCCTTCTTATACAATAGGAAAACTGCAATGATAAAAATTTGTATTATCATGGACCTTACATTCCAGTTTGGCAGAGAGACAGATGAAATAAGTGAATCATGTACTATATTAGATAGTGACAAGAGCAACAGAAATAATAAAGCATTGATGAGGGGTAGAGGAGTTGATTTCAGTATCAAAAGAGTAGTCAGGAAGTCATCACTGACATTTTGAGCAGACTTGAAAGCAGTCATGTAGATACGGGGCAAAGAGGGTCATCCAGGGAGAAGGAAGAGTAAATGCAAAGGTCCTGAGGCAGCAGTGCACTTGATGTGTTGACAGAAGAGAAGGCAGGCCATATATATGGAGACAAGTGAGCAGGAGTAAACAAGGAAGACTAATAAGAGATGAGGTTAGAAACATAAAGGAGAGGCCCGAGTCAGGCAAATTTGGAGACCTTATAGTAATGACTTTGGCTCTTATCTTGAATAAAATTAGGGAACAATTTTCAGCAGGGTTGTAGCAGAGAAATGACTACATATAATTTAGCATTTTTTAAAAAAAGATTTATTTATTTGAGAGGTAAAGTTACAGACGGAAGAAGAGACAGAGAAAAAGGTCTTCCATCGACTGGTTCACTCCCCAAATGGCCGCAGTGGCCAGAGCTGCGCCAATCCAAAGCCAGGAGCCAGGAGTTTTCTCCAGGTCTCTCACATGGGTGCAGGGGCCCAAGCACATGAGCCATCTTTCTACTGCTTTCCCTGGCCATAAGCAGAGAGCCAGTCAGAAGGGGAGCAGCCTGGACATGAACCGGCACCCATTAGGGATGCCAGTGCCACAGGCGGAGGCTTAGCCTACTGTGCCACAGCACCGGACCCCTTAATTTAATATTTTTAAAGTATAACTCAAGCTGCTATGTTGAGAATGGCTTATAGGGGGAAAGGGATAGAAACAGAGAGGTTAGGTAGGATGATTCTGCAGTTGTCCAAGTAAAAGATGATGACAGCTCAGACCAGAGCAGATAGTATACAGAATCACAAGTGGTCCAACTCAAAATATATTTTGGAAGTAAGTTAATAGGATTTATTGACAGATAAAGGCCACCTAAGTAGTGAGTATAATTATGGAAGAAACCAAGGTCTGACACCTACAACTCACAAACATTAAAAGACTGGGAAAAGAGGAGAAACCACTAAACAAGTAAGAGAAGGAAGAAAACCAAGAGAATGTGGTGTTCTGGAAAGCAAATGAAAAAGTATTCTTAGGATGGAGTGAACATCTGTGTCGCATTGCTTATGGATCGAGACAATGAAGTATGACAGTTGACTTTTGTATTTGGCAGTTGCTAAGAGCAGTTTTGGTGGAGCCACGAGGCCAAACACTAGATTAAAGGGGTTGAAAGCAAATGAACTCCTTCTCAAGGACTTACTTTCTTTTAACTTATTAAGTGGAGGATATTCTTATGTCCCATAAGTTATAGTTAGGCCTGAGTGCTTGCAAAAGATGTATCATTTGGATGCTTCCTTAAAGTTAATTGTTTCTAAAAAAAAAAAAAAGAAGAAGTGAAAATAACTTTGAGATACAATGACTTTCAACAGCCCTTGTCTCACTGTTGAGGAACAGGTTTTTGTTTTGTTTTTGTTTTTGTCTTTCGTGCAAATTATTGAACTCTTTACTTAGTATAGAGTTGGTACTAAAGTTAATTGAAAATGGATCTTAGTGGAGAATGGGACTAGGAATGGGAGAGGGAGGAGGAGGAGTAGTGGGAGGGCGGGTGTGGTGGGAAGAATCACTATATTCCTAAAATTGTATTTATGAAGTGCATGAAGTTTGTATTCCTTAAATAAAAGATTTCTTTGGCGGGGGTAGGGGGTGGTGAGCAAATGAGAGAAGAAAACTGGAGCGAGTAAACCAAATAACTCTTTCAAGGACTTCTGCTGCAAAAGTGAGGAAAATAAATGGGGAGGTAGTTGGTAGGGACAGTGAGGTCAAAGAAGAATTTTTAAGTCTTTACCTATTGGAATATTTTTAAAGCTTTAGATGACAGTTTATGAATAAATTAGAAATGGCTGTTACATATTAGGTATCATTTCTATGAAAGTGGGATATTCTAAATTGCCCTTTCTTGCTAAGACAAGGTTTAGATCACATTGTTTTATACAAACTGAGGCATAATTTGGAGATTTTAAACATGTAAAGTTTCTTTTTAATATAAAATATCTAGGGTAATTGTACAGTGTAAGATTTGGAAAGAAATCTGATATAGTTAGAAAAATTGGACTGTGAATGCCAGTTATCTTATTTTTCATTCTGATAAGTTAATTTTTAAGCATTAAAGACAATAAGAAGTAGAATTTAAATTAAAAAGCTGATGGAATCTTTGGGTAATCTTCATTATTTTTTAGAAGGCTTTTATTTAATGAATACAAATTTCATATGTACAGCTTTTAGAAATATAGTGGTTCTTCTCCACATTCCTGCCCTCCCACCCCCACTCCCATCCCACCTCCTACTTCCTCTCCCATCCCATTCTTTATTAAGGTTCCTTTTTGATTAACTTTATATACAGAAGACCAACTGTTTATTAAGTAAAGATTTCAACAGTGTGCACCCACACCCACACCCACACACACACACCAGGTAGAAAGTACAGATTGAGAGTAAGCTTTACAATTATTTCTCATAGTACAACTCATTAAGGACAGAGGTCCTACATGGGGAGTAAATGCACAGGGACTCCTGTTGTTGATTTAACAATTAACACTCTTATTTTTGATGTCCGTGACCACCCGAGGCTCTCAATATGAGCTGCCAAAGCTGTGGAAGCCCTTTGAAGTCTTCATTATTTTTGAATGGAAGAATTCAAAGGGAATTTGGAGATCATTTAGTCCAGTTTATTTATTTTTTAAAGATTT